TGTGTGTGTGTGTGTGAGAGAGAGAGAGAGAGAGAGAGAGAGAGAGAGAGAGAGAGAGAGAGAGAGAGAGAGAGAGAGAGAGAAAGACGTTAAATGGTAATCGCACTATGAATGCACTTCAACAAGTTAAGCTACATAGCGTGACCACCTCTTCCACGAGCATTGTTCGTGTGTGTGTGTGTGTGCAATGACCTTAAGAAAATTGTCTGACAAATTAAATATAGTGTTTTTACGAAAATATAATATCTTACATGCGTCGTTTAATTTTGTTTTGTATTTGTTTTGTATAAATATAAAGTTCATTCACATCTATACAAAGATATGAATATGACGTCTGACCAGTGCAGAAGAGCATGCGACATGGTCCTCAAGTATGCAAAAGAAGGTGTTGATTGGAAGAACGAAGATGAGTTGAAGATGTTGAAGGATTGCATACCTTCCTACTTTGATGCGCGTGTTGATATTTTAAAAATGCTGGAGAGGAATGCCGAGATGATTCCTCATGTGTTGGCTTTCCTTGACAAAATGAATAATGCTTCATTACGCAAAGTAATGAGGGTGTGTCAGCCACAGAATGCGAAGTCTTATCTCATGAGTTTGAGGATCTGGTAATGTGGCTTTTCAAAGAAGAAGACATCACAAAGGAGAAAACACGTGTGGGTGAAAGTTATGACGAACGATGCTGGAAAGACAACGTTAAAGCAAAGGCAGTATCTCATGATTAGTTCTTAAATAATCAGGAAGACGTTTTAAAGATGATAGCTGTTGATGTGTTAGTTATGACGAATTTATGACAGAAATGTCAGAAAGAGTCTGTGCATTCAGTTTGCGAGCTACCATGCGTGATAGCCGATGGTGAAGAGTATATCTTACTTTCACAGTGGATGGATTTGTTGCCATCAACGAGGCGTGGACATTGTTCCTTTACTTTGTTGGCGCATTTGATTGAGACATTGGAAGCAACGCACGGTTTGTTGGTTCTTGATGACCTAGACTGTATGGATGATACATTTTCGTCAGCGCCGGAAGGCGCTTTGGTGAAGACATTGAATTTGTTTGTGAAATCATCCCCTTCTATTGATTTGTCCAATGTTGTCAACGAACTTTGGGAGTCAATGCAATTGGAGTGCGAAAATATGGATGTTTTTCACAGTTCGACAACAAACTGGGATACTGAGAATTATATGAATGAGAACAGTGGTGGGATTCAGCAGACAGAGCGAGAAACACCTTTAGCATGTATGGATTTTGCTATTCAATATAAATTTAAAGGTCCGGTAGCCATGAGACTTGCGGATGTTGAAGGAGAGGAAGAAGATTGTGGTGCAGATGACGAAGACGACAAAGATGAAGAAACGCTCGGTAATTTTTGGCATTCGCATGCTGACAAGTGTTCAGATCCTGAAAAAGGATGGTGTCTAGCAATTTTGCGACTTGCGTCAATATTTGCATTCCGTCCACCATCGATGCTCGTCGTTTGCACGGACATTTCATGTGAAGGTCATTTGCAATTCGATTTTTTGTCAGCACTATCTTTCCTCCATCCCAAAGGAAGGGACCTTTCAAAAGGAGGAAAAAAATGGAATGTGTTGGTTAATTGCAGTTTAGCCATTTCTACGTCGAAGGATTGGGATGGGGCATTAGGATTTCTCATAAAAGCAGGAGAGTTTGTTTCGTGTGGTATTGAGACAGGAAGAAACGCTTTGGAGAGTTGTTCGATGATGCGTTTTTTACATGGTGTGAGGGAGGACGAGTTGAAGGTTGAATTTGAAGAGGGTAGCGTTACTGGTGGCACGCAGAAAAAACAGAGGGGTGACGATTAGCAATGAAGAGCGGTTGTGACATAGGCTTACAAAAAAGAAGTTTGAGGAGTAGGAGAAGAGAGACACATGTTTTGATCAGAAGACAATGTCTTAAGTATGCATTTTTGAAACTCTACTGATGGTTTCAGGTTATTCTTATTTGTGTTTAATATGAGGATATCGAGTTGTGTTGATGTTGCGTTGTATAAATTTTCTGTCATTCGGTAAACAATTTGTACATTTTTTGTTAAAGATTGTTATAAAAAATAAGACTTGTGATTTTCTCTCTTCTCTTCTGAGCGTGAATGATTTCTTGTATCGATCGACTGTTTGTTTTACAGAAAGATCAACAACATTGACAATCAAGCTTATTTCAACATACAATTTTGCGGATCGTGATCGTCTGTGGACACAAAATGGAGCCATGTCTTGACTGTGGACGTAGATTTAGATGCAAAAGGACAATGGAGTCTCACAGGTCAAGAGGATGTACGGGTGAAACTATACATAATGAAGCTCAGTTTCTCCAACAACAGATCGATGTTGAACTTTCAGATGATGATGATGAAAATAATGAAATGAATGTTGATGATTCTGGATGCAATGATGAGAACGAAGAAAACGATTTCATAGTTCTTGACGATGATATTCTTGGTGAGGAATATTCATTAGATTTTGAGCTCGCAGCTGTATTGTGTTCCGCACGAGGGGGTCTTGGTTTATCAAATGGAGATATAAATGCTTTACTGTCTGTCATTTGTCACCGCCGTTTTAATGGTAGTCAGTTAAAGTACAAAAATTATCGTACTTTTAAGAAGTGGTTAGAAGGTATATCTGGCGACGCATCATGAAATGAAACAGAGTTCAGGGACGATAGTTGGTCTGTAGAGGCAACAACTCGTTTATGGTGGCGTAAATGGGATATCACATTTAAGAGTCTTATTGAAGATGCAATAGTTAATGATGTCGAATACACACTGGAAGCAGATGCGATAGTCGATGATGATGAGTTGTTGATTACAAACGCAAGATCCGTGAGATTTTGGAGGTACGCACAAAATGTTATTAGAAACGAAAAAGGTTTAAATGAGAATTGACAAAATAAATATATCATGCCATTTACTTTGTATTCAAATAAAACTCACGTTGATGGTCGCATGAAAACCACCGCATATCCTTTGATGTTATCAATTGCTGATCGGCCCGACCAAGCAACCCTGCTTGCTTACTTTCCGATTTTACACCCTCTTCCGCACATTGAAGGATGGACAAGTCAGGCGCCTGCGTCCGTTCGTCGCAAGCGTTGTCTTTTTCACAAAAGTCTTTCGATCATCCTCGAGGATGCAAAAACAGCTTCCCATGATGGAATGCAAATGCATCCACCCCGGTATGGAAATATAATGGTTCATCCTGTGTTGTTAAATTATATACAAGATCATCCTGAAAGATGTCTCCTGTCACTCGTGAAAAACCGACGGTGTCCCACGTGCACAGTGCCTACAAACAAACTTCACAAACACATTGATTGCAGCGAATTATTGAGAATAGAAAATGTGGATCGCAGTGTTTTGCATGACATTCATCAAGCTTTAGATGTGTCAATGCGTGATCAAGCGTTAGATCTCGCCAAAGACTGGGGAATGCACCACGACATACCTGTTAATGGTCTTTGGGGATTTTATCAAGGTCGTTTGAACAACGATATCATGTTTGATTACCACTTCGCACTGCAACCGGATAGGATGCGTATCGTAGACCATAAAATATTTGAATATATGATTGAAGGCTTGAAAACTTTCTGCAAGTCGTTCGTAAGTGGATCTCGAATGCTGGGCGAACTTGATGCTGGCCTTAAGCAAATCAGCCTTAGAGCACGCCGTACGTTTCAAAAGCTTGTGAGCCCTGTTGCAATAGGAGCTGATTTTTTCACTCGTGAAGGTCGATTTGAAGCGAAACAACATCGAGCTGTCACGACCGTTATTCTGTTTATAGTTCATAATTTTGTAGACAACATGGAAGGACGCAACCTTGTTCAATAGTTTGACATGTTTTTAGAGTATTTCATTAGCATGTTTCGTGTTAAGAAACATACGATGCAATCACTTCAGAGGTGTGATGATCTTTTCAAAGACTTCATGGAATTTACGAATCCCCGGTTCGGCCATTTACAGAAGTCAAATTGGAAGATTACAAAAATGCATGATCTAAACAAGTACAAAGCAGCAGTGTTGTGTTCCGGGTTGCCGAATACATTTGCGGCAGACATTTGGGAACATAATCACATTCGTCTCTGTAAAGATCCTTATCATGCTTCGAATCGTAAAAACCCTTCACGACAAATGGTGGAACGTAGGAGAGAAAACGAAAATTGGTCGGCAGTGTTGGAGGCAGAAAGGACAGGAGAGAATATCATGTCTTCAACTAATATAGTGTCATTGCGGTTAACATGGTTCAACTTGAGTGATGAAAGTATCAGGGAAGAAGTTGCATCGTCATCTATTAGAACGACTGACTTTTTACTTTGTCTGCGGAAAGACAACAATTTCATCAGTGTTTGTATACATACATTACATAACAAGGCTTTGAAGAGACGAATGGCGACACAATTATCCGACCAAGAACGCATGTTGCTTTTGAATGCACTTACCATGGGTTCATCAGAGGAAGTGATGTTCAGGTAGCGAGGGCGACACCTGATTTTCATGGCCGGGAGGTACGATCGGATGTAAGTGTTAGAGCAGGGAACGATGAAGTGTGGTTAACATCTGTAGCAATGTTCTTTATTGTACAATGTTGTGAGGATAATCAAACAATAACGAATTCATGTGCATTTGTACAGTGGTATAAAGAATGTGCTACGAACTTAACTAATCGTACTACATGTTAGTTGGTAAAATGGGAAAGAGTTAGAGGTGTGCAGCATAGCAGCGTCATCGATATTGATACGATGATTGAACCAGTAAATCTTGTTCCATATTTTAGAAGGTCATCATTTCGACAGGATGTGGAACGTGCGAATAAAGAAGAGGGTTATTTTTTTCTTAACAGATCCATAAATATTATATGACTATTTATGTTACATTATTTTTCGTTGTTCTGTCCAATGCTCTTGCTGTTTTCTGTGCGTGTGCGCAGGTGTGCACAACTAGTATTATCGTAATTAAGGTAAATAAAAAGATAATTGGGCGTGAGAAAAAATTATGTTCCCAGCGGCAAACGCTCAAGGTAGGGACGAAAGTCACGATGCGAGGGGGAGGGGAGGGAAAGGGGGGGGCATACAGCCGCAAAAGTGCAGATCAAATGACTCAATGACAGGAGGAACATTCAACAAGTGAAAGTCGAGAACAACAGAATTCGCACGTGAGCAGAGAGAACAAATCAGATATAACGGTGAAGGGGAAGAAAAAGTCAAATTATGGTGTATCAAAAAGAGCAAAAGGAGGAAATGTGAAATGTATGGGAGAGATAGAGGAGAGAAACATGATGGCAACATCTAATGTTCAGGATGATATGTTATCAGAAGAAGAGATCAAACAATTGTATCGTCGTTCTCTGTTGAGCTTATCAGTTGACGTCTGGGGACTTTTACCTCTTCAGCCAATTCCAAGTGCATTCGGAGCGTGTATGCGTGAAAATGTCGGGAACAGGTCAGATGGTTCACAACAAGCCTGTGAACATGTCCACGCTCTAAGGGTCAATGACGAGCATACAATGACTGCGGAGAACCAAGTGTCATGCAACATGGAGTATCACCCAGAGCATACAACTCAGAAGTTGAGGATGTCATCAAGCGTCTCATTGAATGATATACCAGAGAAGGTGGAAGATCATATGAATGACAATGGGAAGGTGTCGAAAATGGTGGATGATAATTATCTTCAAACGGAAGCAGAGATGGTGACCGTCGACATGACAAATGATGAGAAGATGATAAATGATATTGAAAGAAGGGTGCAAAACGAGACAAGTGGAGAAATGAACCTGGGAAGTACGAGTCTTGTAAGTCCACCAGCATGTGCAGTTGATGTGGACAAAGGGTCGCAAGACATTGATGAGGATGAACATCTCTGATTAGAGGATCGAACGTTACCACTTCTAAGTCAGAGTACAGTTACAGAATACTTTCCTTTCAAGTGACATCCCTCCCACACAGAGTCTTTCACTATCAGGATGGAAGATGTTGAGTGCTTGGGACGGACGAGGTGGTTGACTACAAATATTATTGACTTTTACAGTCAATATGTATACGAATCTGTAATGAAACGGAGCAACAATCTTTCGAGCGTGGAAGTGGCATCAGTGTTGTGGTATAGCAAGATATATAACACACACAAAGATGTAGATCTCAGCTGCCCTCCCGATGTCGAAGTCGTAAAGAAAATTTGTAAAAGGAGAAGGAAGGGAGTGTCAACATTGTGGGAGAACGAAGTAGTTATAGCTCCAATCCATCTTCAAAATCATTACACGGTTCTGGTATTCATCAACATCGGTGAAGTGTTGAAGGACACAGATCTGACTCGCTCAGATTTGTGCGCAATATTCCACATGGACTCCAAAGCAAATTTGGGGAGACCGAATTTTGATCCATTGGTAATGTACCTGTTCTACGAGCACATGGCAGCAATATTCGTACAAGATGCCGACATCACTGCACAGCGGTTGAAGCGGGCTTGGAATGAAATTGCCAGCGAAGGAGTGAAGTTCATTGATACTGTCCATTGCCAACAACAACGTAACTACAATGATTGTGGTGTAATATTGTGCAGAAATATAGAGAGCATACTTGAGAGTCTTGGAGAGTGCAGAAGTGCCTGTGCAACGAGGAAAGAAACAGAAAAAGTATGCAAACGTTTAATCACACGTTAACCATCGGAGCATCGCCAAGTCATGATTAGGGCATTGGCAGGTATTTATCCGAATCTGCCTTCATCGCATACGACTGAAGACTTCGTTGCAATTCTTCGGAAACTCATAACTCGACGCAAGAGAACAAGAACGACCTAAACTCGAAGCCACGCTGGAGAAAGGTGAGGTGACATTTGCCCTCATTGTAGCAAAAATAGAGAGAAATTAATAAAATAATATGAATACAAATTTGCGAAATAAAAATCAACATGGTGAGTGGTTAGGTTTGTAAAAATTAAGGAGAACAAACTTGAAAAAACGTGTTGTGTTATATTTATAGGTACATATCTAATAATTGATGTGGTGTTTATGTTGCACTGCATGTTATTGTTATGGAGACAAAAATTGTAAAAGAATTGGACGGAGAGAAAAGAGTGAACAATATAATCAACAGATTTTTGAGAGATATCTATGGATAAACAGCACGGCAACCAGCAAAGGCCAAGGAGTGGAGACCGACTCGAGATAGCACATCATCAACGAGGTTATGGCTTGGAAGAGGATAAACGACCACACAAGGCATATGGTCAAAGATCAGGAGGTGAAGGTGAAACTAACATCATCAAAGACATGCAAATTGGGAAACGCGACTGCAGAGCTTCACGAGACGGCAAGGGCGAATTGCGGCGGAGAAATATGATTGAGATGCATGGCGAAGCAAGCAAGCGTAGATTTGATTGCCGTAAAAAAGAACGCATCAGGAAAACTACATTTGCAGACGAAAAAGAGGAGTCTCCACCACGAACCCCTAAAAGGAAGATTTTCCGAGAAGATGTGTCAGGTCGTAATGTCCTTCTTGCTCCTGCAAAACATTCAAGAGGTGCGATAAATGAGACACAGGATGTGGAGTATCGAGACGTGGCATGCAGGTCGAATAGGCGAGGCGATAACGAAGGTGGTGCAATGGAAGTTGATGGTTCACAGAAAAACAACGAAAGAGACTTGCGGGAAAGACGCAGAGATGATATATATAATGAACTCCGAGATGGAAATGAAAGTATTCAACAAACATTATTAAAGCAGCGTAATGATGTTGAAAATGAAGAGGACTATGAAGAATGCGAGGACGAAGAATTTGACGACGAATCCGATGGAGGTCGAGACGGAAGGGAAGAAGAGTTTGACGAATATGCAAAAGAAGATGATCGCTTTGTTTCTCAAACGTCAACACACATTAAAAAGCAACAGCGGAGAAGAACAACAAATGGGTAATTGACGTTATTCGATGATTTCTATTGTGCATGAGAAATAAAAATAATGGTCGGCATTGTTCTTTAAATCATTGTGTTTTATATATATATATATATATATATATGCGTACGGTATATATAGAAATGTTCTATTTGACGATATATATATATATATATATATATATATATATATATATATATATATATATATAGCCCCTCGTTTGTTGTCCTCTTCTCTCTCTCTGCGTACGGTTTACCGGGCAATTCTGTTTGTGAAAAGTAGTATTAACACCGGGTTATATTTTGTATTTATATGTGGTGCAGTATAACGCGAACAACAAACACGTGGCTTGAAGGCAACGAGTGATGGTGAGAAGTTTGAAGGCGAAAATGTGCAAGACACTGATTCCGATATGAAGATGATGAAACGATTGCTTCGCTGTATGACGAAGACTTTTTGTTTGACACGTGCAGGAGACGTGGAAATGTACCCGTCGCCATCTGCTTTCGTTGATGTATTCTTGGAATTCGTTGGGACGCTTCGTGCAGACGTTCGACGTGCAGTTGATCGATTGGTTAAATCGAAAGGAATTGCGACAATTACTGGTATGGGTTCGAGGGAGTTGACGAACGTCAGAGGCGAGATTGCTTATAACATTGTTCGAGGGTTTTGGAGTGGTCTGGGACTTCCGTATCCGTGTGGTAGTTCAGTAGACCACCTAAAGATGAAACGGGACGAGATGAGGAAGAAAATGATGGAAGACTCTTCTTGGAGAGTGAGAGGTAGTGAGCCATGGGGTGCAGAAAAGTTCAAGAACGTAATTGACGAGGTACTGTACAGAGACTACAAGGAACTGAAGCGAAGAGGTTACACACTTCAACAACTGGCTTTTGCTCACATGGTGCTTGATTGCGATATGAACAACAAGAGTCGTCCTGCACGAACTGCTCAAGCTACACAAGAGATGAGGCGGATCGAAGAGGTTATCATCACGACACACAAAACGAGAGTCGGCAAGCTTTTTGTCAATGTGATTCCTTTAGACAGAGAGAAGCAAGTCGTAGAGATCGCGAGAAGAATTTCGGAAAGACAAGACGTTTTGGGACGTAAAGGAAAAAATGAAGTGTTGAGAATGAAAGATGATCACAAGTTTTTAAGTATAGTTGACACCAACGATGTTCTAAATGTCGATGTCGATGATATGCATAACAAGTCTGGTGGCGATGACGCACAAGCAGGACAAAACACCATTCATTTGCAAGATCACGATACTCGTGATGATGATATCTCTCTTGCCGCTCAGTCTCCCACAAGCAAGACAGCGGACAAAGGTCGTGAGTAGGTAGAGTGTTAAGTTATTGCGCATAGGAATTACGAAGTCATATGTACAACTGTGACATTTGTTTATAGTGAACCGAGTAGAGGTAAAAAAAAAATCAAATATGGTGGCTGATGTGAAGACTCTAGAGCTAAACGTACACTAGTGCAGAGAGAGAGAGAGAGAGAGAGAGAGAGAGAGAGAGAGAGAGAGAGAGAGAGAGAGAGAGAGAGAGAGAGAGAGAGAGAGAGAGAGAGANAGAGAGAGAGAGAGAGAGAGAGAGAGAGAGAGAGAGAGAGAGAGAGAGAGAGAGAGAGAGAGAGAGAAAGAGAGAGAGAGAGAGTTTATCGAAGAGGTGGTACCACGTGTGTGTTACTCGAGCCATAATTAGACAGATAGCATGACCACCTTTTCGACGACTATCATGGGTATGTGAGAGAGTGTATCTGTGTGTGTGTGTATGTGTGTTTGTGTGAGTGTATGAGGGTGTGTGTGTACAAGAGAGAGAGAGAGAGAGAGAGAGAGAGAGAGAGAGAGAGAGAGAGAGAGAGAGAGAGAGAGAGAGAGAGAGCAACAAAAACCTGAGCATTCAGAGTTTTTTTTGGCATTGAAAGACATAAGAAACACACGTGTATGTTATAATTTATCGACTTTCTATTGGCATATGAAACGGAAGAGAACTAAAGTGTTCATTGATTTCTGTTTTTTTGTTTTTTTTTTGCGTTGAATTATGTGTATGTAGCATAACATGCATATATGTTGTCCTTCTTACCATTTCATTATTGTTTTGATATATAACGCATAAAAAGTATTTGCCCTTAAGAGGTACTAGTGGTTTAAAGCCTTCATGTCCAATGCGTTATGCAATATGTTATAACGCCTTGAGTTACTGCAAGTGATATGTGAGTTTACCACGCTTAGGAGGTGGGGAGGAGACACATTATATGTTCATAGGAATCATAGGAATAGACGTAATACCGATACGTAAAATAAGAACGTCCTTAGTAGTGCCACAAGCGGATTGACTATACCTGCAGTATCAAATAGCAAAGATGTTGTAGTGAGATTGCTTACATTTTTGCAATCTCACTTCAACATCTTCTGCATTTTATACTGCGGAATGCGTGATTGTTTGTGCCACTAGTAAGAACATTATTATTTTAAGTATCGATAGAGATACTGTCTTTATGAACATAGAAGGTCCCTCCTTTCCTCACAGACGTCCACCTTTTCTTTTTCTTTAACAAATTAAATGTTTCTCCAACACATTACAACGAGTTGTGAATCACAACTTCAACATTACTGTTTACTCGACCTATGATAAAAAAATGGTTGTAAAATCGCTAAGAAAAAGTTATGAATCAACCCGATCAACTGAAGCAATAACAATGAAAAAACGTTCATCAAAATACTCAAATATTTCATAACGTATTGCAACTTTCGGAAAAACATAACCCCAACGTAAGCCAAACATTAAAAGCAACATTGAGGAAAACGTAACCCCAACGTTAAAAACAACATTCATGGATCCGAATATCCATTGCTTGTCGACAAATTATAACGTTAGTCTTGTTGAAGCAACCATCCGAAATTGTTCCATTCTTTTTCAATGTTGATTAACCTTTGAAGGTTAAATGACAGTCAAGAATCAATCTTCTAAACTGTTTATAAACAAGATAAGGTTAATTAACAAAAAAATTAGAAACTCGGATTTTTTCTGTTGTATCCTTCCGTCACCACATCCAATTTTGTCCAATCATGCAATTGTATTTTCAGTCGCGCCACCTTAATTCAAATCTCGTCACATTCGAGCAGCCATTGGCGTCGCCTTTTGGGTTTTCCCTCTCGACACATTCAAATTTTTCATTGTATTGGGTAATGCATAAAAACTGAATGTACGAATGCTCGTGCAGAAGGGGAGCTTTGTCGGGCCAAAGAATTGATAGCATTCAATGTCGGAATCACAAAGTACACAGCGCGGAGGGCCAGACAGGCCATCAAATGTATAAAGAGGCCCGTGTGTTGTATTTTGTTCTCTGTGACGCCTCACAACATTCAAAGTGAAAATGCATAGATGAGTGTAGACGACGAGGGAGGTTCGGGAGAGAGGCAGAAAAACATAGAGTTAGTTTGAGTCTGGATGCATCCGAGTATGCGGGCAGAACATCACACCACACAAGGCACAAAATGACGAAAGCGAGATATTCAATCACGAAACAGGCGCCCCAACAACGAGGACGTTCGTGATAATTGAAATCCAATGAGAAAGAACAATATTGTCGACGATAAACACGCCGGGGACATGACAAGTTCACCCGGAGATTTCGTAGCAGTGACAGACAGTTCTGCTCTGAACCAAACCGAGAACACCCACCAGTCCCTCACGGAAAAAATAAAAAGGAACAAATTTCGTCCGGAGAAGAACGAAATGTTCTTCTACGTTAACCCTTCTACACTACATGATCAACAAAGAGATAGACGCTTTCCTACCAACATCGCAAATCGCCAAAGCTAGTCTAGCTCTGATAAAGGAGATGTATCTATGGGAGAAACCAAAAGGTGGACGTAAACCTCTCACCAAACAGGAAGCGAACATCAACATGAACACCCCACAACTAACCCCCTCGTGCTGCCGAGGGACACCTTTCACGCTGACCTCGCGAGCGAAGTGGTCGAAAGTGTGACCATCACCGCCGGCACCTGCCACCGTGTTCAAAAATTTAACAGTTTTATCCAGAAGTGCGGAGTAGAAGGAATCTTTGGATGACGAACACGAGAAAGAATCATAGATTTCCAAAACACGTCTAGAGAAGTCAATGGCCAAAAGGCTCCAGTGTTCGCCGTCCTGGTGCCAAGACGAGGTCACGAGACAGGAGGTTGACATCTTTAGCCCATCTGAGAACAGTTGTCGGACCTCGCAGAAGCAATGAAGAGGCGAAAAAGGAGTTAAAGGTGTATGTCTTCATGGTAGCGGCAGTCCGGCCGCAGTCGTCAAGTAGCATCGTCATGTAGAAATTGACAACCTCATCGTTGAACTCCCCGGATCTATCCACGAGTGTGATGATGTCCTTGACGGATACCTGTAAACTGTGCGACGGCAAACATGCGACGATGATAGTGAGTGGCAACCGGGAGCAGATAACGTCTTCAAGGACCGCTCTTCCATCTCAAGGAAAACGTGTTCAACAAACACCCGCAGCACACAGCAAGCACAAAGGACGGGGCACTATGAGAAAATGTCGTCCTAGCGGTCATGGTCCGAGGAACCGCTGTCGGTGCGAATACCCTTACAAGGGTATCCGCCCTGGTTTTTGTAAGTAACAGGAAATGGTTTTGGTCTAGAGTTTAAGTATACCGCGCTAGGCGCGGCTGCGTCTGTAATTTACATTGAACAGGATGCTTGACTAGCGTAGAGAGTGTGTAAGCGCGCAGGTTTAAGGCACGCGTGATTCCTATCTGCTGTTGATCATCGGTTGTTTGTTTAAAGGTATTATTAATATCTACAGGAACCAGGGATTTTTTTCGGTTGATTGGTACGCTTGATTGAGGCGAGCGCGCGTGCGGGGAAACGACCCCGGCGACGGCATCTGCAATAAGGGCGCGATTTTGTGCGGTGAGCAGGATGTCGTAGGATGGCGCGCGGGGCAATTATGGCATGGTATAAACAAGTCGACGCGGGCACTGGGAGCCGCGCTGCCGGTTGTTGGCCCAAAGCGTCGCGCCGCACTGCCTATATGGTATTCTGCGGGATTCAGTCCCAGGGCCTGGGCTTAGCCCTATAGGTTACGGCTTTGGGTTGACGCTATGGAGGTTCGGGGATCGAGGTCGGCAGGGCGTCAGCGCAGCAACTACACCGAAGCATCGCGGAAGGAACCAGTAGGATGGAGGGCCCCCAGGGCTATCCCCTTCGGTTTTGTTTACAGGGGCGGCGGCAGGCCTGACCTGCGGGACTGGCGTGGCGCCAGCAGCCCCGCTGACCTCTTTCTC